TACCTTTGGGTAATATACATTCTTAACTCGGAGAAGCAAGAAAAAAAGTGTTGTTTCAAGATTAATTGTTAAAACTGAATTTAGAGTCAATGTGCAAGAGAATTTTAAGCTTCTATGGGCTAAAAATATATTAGACGATTTAAAAATCAAGTGAAAAAAGCTTATAAAAATATATTGTGATAACAAATCAGCTATCAATAATACACAATCCAGTACAACGTGATCGTACAAAGCATGTTGAAGTTGTAGGCACTTTATAAAAGAGAGACTTAAAAGAGGCAAGCTTTGTATTTCATGCGTCAGCAGAAAATCAACTAGCTGAAGAATTGTTCAAAGGACTCTGCAACCCAACATTTAAAAATATCATAAGCAAATCTAGAATGGTTGATTTCTATGACTCTACCATCCAGTTTGAGGAGAGAGTTGAATTTCAACTTGAATTATAAAAAACTTAAGCCCCACAGATTAAGGTTTTGTACCATTAGATCAAGGAACAGAGATCAAGTCTTTATATCGTTAGATCGAGGCTCTGTATCGTTAAATCTCTCTCTATAACTTTCAAATTGTAATTCACGTGCTTTCCCATGGGATCAATATCCCTGATTATTCTTCCCTCCTTTTTTTTATTAATTCTTATTTTGTAATGGCTCCAGGATTTGTATACATGCATTCCCTCTTGTACAAAAAAGTGAATGAAAATTCTCGAGAGCTTTTCTCATTACTTAATTTCTACATATAATATTATTAAATAGACCAAATAAAACAATTCCTCAAAAACTGAACAATAATATTGAGACTGCAATAATCCAAAAATTAACATTAGTGGCATTTGAAAATTTAGCTTAGATAAAATTCATGCCCAACAATATCAAAGTCAGCAACTAACTACAGATTATCACCTTTTTTTAGAGTATCATAATACCTAGTACACCCACATATCTTAAATAAACATGCAATTATAATCATTAAATAGATAACATAAATTATAACCAGTCAAAAAATACATCTTAAGGTATCATAGTTAGAACTCAAGTAAGAAAAGGAACTTTCGAGTTGTACAAAAGTGATCTCAGAATCAAGCGCAGTCAGAATGAGCAAAACAATCAAAGGCTTGAAAGAGCCAAATATAAGCTAACATTCATGAAATCACCCCTAAGTCATGCCCGTGAATTTACGAATTTCAAAACCAATATCCCTCTACCATAATGATTTTTTTCTAATTTACTCTAGCACTCTGAACCACAATTATTGCAATCATCAGCACACTCCCTCCCCCAAATTGCTATTGCTAGTAAGTGAAACAATGATCAAATTTCTCCCTCTCTCCAACTGAAAGCCAGCTTGTTTCATTTCTTAAACCAATTAATTCCCCCTCCCCATCTCTTTATTTCCCCTACACAACACCCACTCCCCTCCTTACCTCTCCTTCCATTCAAACAAAATAACCATTCTTCCCCTAGCTAAAAATGAATAATATGACTAAAAAGTTTTACAATATTACAAAGCCTCATGCCCATCATACCCGCACAATACTTCATTGTCAACCTACTCATCTTGCAAAACTAATTAATCATCCCCTTTTAATCAAGCAATGTTTGGCAACCAAATCAAACATATCAAAATACTACTCCAATTGTAGCTCCGACACTTTTAGGTCATGTAGTATCGATCATCTTTCGGATTTCAAAAATATAACAGCCTAATTTTGGGACCTATTTTTTATTAGTAAACTACCCTTCTAACTCTTCCCCTGTCAAATTTTGGGTCAATAATCGTAACTGTGAAGGCAGCATGACCAGATTTAAAGTCCAAATCACGTACGCAGCGCTGCGTACGATTTCGATGTTATACGGAGGGTATAAAGGGGTTATAGGGTATAACCCCTTGTAACCTCCATATAACCTAGTGTAACCTACTTGTAACCTACATATAAGTTTCGTGCTTCTGTTATCATATATTAAGAATTTATTAGTAGGTTAAAAGTAAGTTACAGCAGATTACATGGAGGTTACAAGGAGTTATATCGCAGATATAACCCCCTTATACCCTCGGTATAACCTCAAAATTGTACACAGCGCTGCGTACCTCTATTGTACGCAAATTTTTTCCCAATATTTGAGCCCAATGAAGTACTTCAAATTTTACTTTGATCAAAATAAAAAATGCTACAAATCTAATCTATTAAGAGATTTTATAGAAAAGATTTCAAAAGAATTAAATAATTCTTAAGAATATGATTATGAAACATAAATCAAAGCACCGCAAGCCACCAATTTAAGGCCTCAGTCAGGAGACTTTGTACTTTCTAATATTATTTCAAGACAGGTGAATATCACTCAAGTCTTTGAAATTCAGTTCATGAAACACGTAAGTCCACACTTTCACAACCCTCCATTTTAGCCCTTATCACTTTTCCAATTTATAAATTAGTCTCAGGGATTAAAAATGGTTTTAACAAAAAACCATTATTCTAACAGCACATTTTTTCATTAATTTAGCCTTATCTGACTGAATTCTTTACTTAAATATAAATGTTATAAACATTGTGACCAAAGTACCCTATTTCAAATATGAATATCTATCTCCAAATGAAATGTTGGTCCACAAAAATGTCCTCCACTTCCCAATTTATTATCATACTAAAGAAATAGATTCTTTTGTCAGTCCCTTATCAGCTCGTGGTTTCACTAGTGGAATCAAAGTTCAAGCATAGAAGAACCATTTCTAAGGACCGAAACACATGTGAACCGAAGGCTCAATCAACTCTATCTAGCCAGATGACCTCCCATAAAGTTCTATCAACCATTTTTACTATTGCATGTGTGAATAAGAGATAATGCTCTAATTGAGCTTGAAGAACAAATTCCTTGCCATTGCCTATAGCCATCAGTAAATTCTTTCATTAACATATCAGAGTCTTTCAAGTTCTATGACCTCTTGCCTTTATGGGTATATATGCCAATAGCACGGATAATCCACTCACAATCAATAAAAAAGAGAAAAAATGGCAGGAAAGTATATTTTTTGGCAAAGAAAAATAAAACAGGTGGATTAAAATGTATATTTAGTGGCAAAATTGCATAGAGAGAAATTACTCATGATATTGACTTTGGATACTAGATTCCCTTAAGTGTCAAATATGAAATTTTGGAGAATATCAAAGAATTGAAAGATAAAATCACTAAAATATCACACGTTAAAACATTCTCATGTTCTATTTATAGGATATTGAAAGTGAACATTAGCATTAGGATGTTCAAATTATTGAATTACCAATAAATTATCTATAATTTGTTATTGTGCTGTGTTTAAAATAATATATGCAATCTTATGGCTCTAAAATAACTTTGCACCATGATGTGTTATTCATAATTGAAAAATATTTTCTATTATAATCAAAGTCAACCTCCTTCCAGTGTGCTCTCTTTTCAAAAAGCAATTCCAACAATATGCATTTGCATGGCTAGCTCTTAAATTAGCAATGATTTAAACAGTTTCACAATTTTGCCTATTATCTCCTACAATGTGTTCTTTTACTTTTTCCACTACTTTGGGGATTCTTCTAGCAACTAAGGCTAGTTTGGATACTCTGTAATAATAGCTTATGAGCTGACCTCTATAAAAGCCTATAATACGAAAAATTAAGTTATCTTCCACGACTTCCATGTAGTCCTGCAATTAATATCATAAGGATCAATTATTTCTGCAATGAAATAAAATTAAAATAGAAATCGTGTTGTCTAAACTCAATCACATACTCATGAACTGACCGCTCATACCATTAATTGAATTTCTACCACCAAATATAACTCTTCCCCAGGGAGATGGAATAAAACTGAGACCTATATAATCTCTTAAAATATCGCCTCTTATTTGCCCAAAGATTATATCGAATAACATTTTCAATCAAGATTTTTTTACGTAGAAATCTACTAATAAAAAGGGATATCTGATTCAAAGTTTTCAAACAAATTTTCACCGTATAACCATTCATTGAATCATCTGACATGTATAACACTAGTTTAGCAACCATCTTGACAATAAGTGAATGCATAACTAATCTCCCCAATGTGGTAATGGTTCTTCTTATTTTTCATAAATGCCCTCGAGAAACTCAAGAACCATACCAAGATCAATGGACGAATCCACCATGATTTCTAGGACAGTAATGCCTGAAATTGAGCCATTTGATCCATTGTAACCTCTAATAATTTTTTTACATTTATAATCTAATATAATTCTCATTTGAGGCATCGTCTTCTCTTTGCATTAAGACTACTTCCTCTACAGTCCCTTGATCATTAAGTGTTCCTTAAAATCTAACCTTTCTAAGTCATTCACTCTACTTTTAAAGGGAATAGCCACGATATGATAGCAAACTTTATCAAAAACCATCATGATAGCATTGATGTTTAAAACCTTTTATTATCTCTAATGGTTTTAGCTGCAATTCAGCTGAAGCTTTGGAGAATCTTTTAGGTATTTAGTTGAGATTCAAGGCCCATTGTTTGGTATTTAAACCTCATTTGGGGTCCCTACCTTAGGTTTTGATGAGTTTTTTTGGGAATTTGTTCGCCTTGAGTCTAGATATAAACAAATTTGTTGAAAAAATAAGTCTAAGAATAAGACTATATGCATGTACATATGTCCTTTCCCTTGCATAAAATGCAACCCTATTCACTAGATTGAGTAGCTGAAAACACGCTAAAAAAAACTGACAAAAAAAAAGAAAATGTAATCTGGAAGACGACTACAGTTATGAAGAACCTATCTTTCTAGTTCTCAAAAGCTATTATTACTAGAAGGTGAAATAATTCAAATTAATCTATATAAATATCATCACTTGTCAACTATATTCAAGACACTTAAAAATTTCAAATTAATTCATTTCTATCAGCAAGTATCATATTGAACATAATAAAATTAGAGCAAACACACACAATACAAATAGATAAAAGACAGCAAAAAAATTACTCAAGTTATAGAGTAATGCAATACACCTTTAGATAGATAGTTATAATATGTCCAATAAGCAGAACTTCCATATTTTGTAGAGCATCCACATTATCAGGGGCGGCAGTCTGATCAACAAGCGCAAAGAGTTTCTGCAGCATAAAACTAGAAAGACAAACAATGTATTACAACAAACTTATCAACAGAATCATGCACAAGCATTAACAAATACTTAATATTAGCCAATCTAAGGTTTGATCCACATAATGGAGAAATATCACAGAGTATGGAAATATGGAAACAGTAACTAACATCAATAAATTAAACTTCTCATGGTTGTTATTAAGATGCACGAGAATGTAACCTCTCAAAACAGCCTCACCAACCTACATAAAAAAAGGAGAAAGAATTGAATATCAATCAAAACGCCAGAAAATTGAAATTGCACGCAGGAATGATGTAAAATGTGATCAGCTTACAAAAGTATCACTTTCATTATCAAATTTAGAAAAGGCAGGTCTGAAGATCTTTCCTACAAATAATACAATATATCAAGACAAAATCTACCATTGAAATTGAAAGATTTCAATGTTCCAGTGAATACCAATATGTTCAAGGCATTGACTGCGGGTTTGGAGAGATGGTTCTAGTTCATTCATAATTATTCGATCCCTTCCAACCGCACCTTCGTCTTTTTTGTACTTTTCATTACAGCAAGCCAAGCTCACACAAATTTCACGATCATTAGTCTCAATGAGAGCCTGTCAATGAATCTAATCAGAAAATCCACAAAAAAATTAATAATTGGCGTGAATGTTAATAACAGAAAATGTCATTTTAAATATCATAAGCTAAATCAGTTAAGCAAAATAAAACTTATAAGTAATCCTGATTCGAAAATCTAAGTCATAAATTATCTTGGCAAAATAAAACTTATAAGTAATCCTGATTCGAAAAACTTAGAAAAACATAAGTATAAGTAAAACTATCCAAAAATATCTACGAATACCAGAATAACAAAATAAAATAACAGACTAAACTACAATAAAATGTTTCAGCTTAACCCTCCAATATGAAAAATAAGTCATAAATTATCTTGGAAATAATTAGTCACATCACGTGTGCAGAATTGAAAAAAAAAATAACATAGAATCATCAATGGCATCCAGTTTCCTACCCCCATACTGAAAAACAAATAGACATGAATGATAAGTAAAAAAAATTATGACAAAAGACTTGTATGAAAAAATTATGACAGAAGACTTGTATAAAAAATTGAGTAAATGCAACCTAAAAATGTATTCAAAGTTAAAAATTATTCAAATCTGATCACCCAAATCCAAAATTATAATATATTCTATATAGAGTAATCAATATTTCTTAATAAATTATAATGACGGCATGATGTGGAATCCCTTTACCCTACCTGATATCGGTGCTGATACCACAGCTGACTACTGCTGTTTGAACTTTTCAGCAAATAGTTGCAGAAGTGCATAAGAGAATAAGATAAGGGAAATGACTATACTCAAAACCATTTATTTTTCATTTTTCAGCAATGAAAATCCAAATGAGCACTTCAACATCAGTGAACTCAGCTTACACCTATAACAGCACCAACATATAGAAATTCAAAGGTTTTAAACTCCCTAACACTGTTAGATATCAAACAAAGGAGATGCAAAATCCTTGGTCCTACAAAATCTTAATACCAAAATGCATTGAGCAAAAATCATATCCTTAGACCAAAAATGACAAATAAAATGTTGCACTGTGCCGGTAGCTTTACTATTGGATTAAGATAAACAATCATGATGTTAGGTACTGGCGTTGATCTCCAATCTACGAGAAGACAGATCAGTTATAAATGAAAAGAATTAAAAATTCACATTTTCAGTGGATGAACAGCATAAAGTTCTGATGTGGTCGATGTGTCACCGAATATTCAAACAGTGGTACATTTGGGACCAACCAGCATTTATCTCCCATAAAAAGTTATGTTTTTAAAGCTTAAGCCAGCTTTTAAAAGTTCTAGTACAGAAAGAAAAGAACATTAATATAATTACTTATACAAGTATAAAGTGCAAAGCCTCGTAACCTTAACGAAGTGGAAACATATGGCTCCGGTAGAAGCTGGGCTGAGGTAAATGTACAAGGAGAAAGAGAGTAAGGAAAGAAGAAGAAGAGAAGAGAAGCAGAGGAAAAGAAGAAGAAGAAGAGAAGAGTAAGCAGAGGAGAAGAAGAAGAATAAGTTGTAAATTTAAGATAAAATTCTTTTTTTTTATTATTTTCATTTGAGAAAAGATTCCAAATCGAAGTGATAGACTTCGCTGTTCGTAAAAAGAAGAGTTATTTTAAGATAAAATGTATTCTGAGGTTAATTTGATTTGGAATTAAATTATAAGCCATGAAATACTATAAATTCAGAAATTTGCCGTTTTAAATTTATAAAAAAGAAAAGATTTTGTGGTAAAAGTACTGAGAAAGTTGGTCATGCTGTCATGAATTGGGTAAGATAATTTATAATTCAGCTAGTAAATTTTGTTTAATTTTATAGGTAATTAGATATGTAAGGTATAAGAAATATTTTATTTTATAAAGTGTACATTATAGTTATACGAGGCATGATAAAAATGATAATGCAACATTTTTTAAAATATGATACGCATGTATTTAAAGCATTTGAAGTATATTAACATGTTATTAAAATGATAAAAAGGCAAATAATACTTTTAAGGTACAAATAATGCGCTTTCTTAAATTTTATGTAAAATATGAAGGCTAAAAATATTCAAATGTTCAAAAATGAAAATCAAAAGAGCTTAAGAAGTTAAGTATGTGAATGGGATGGAAACAAGTACAAGATAGCCAATATGGGCAGGGCGATAAAGTTAAGCCAATTTCAAAACAAAAGTGTCCTTAAATATTATATTTATAATACCTATACAGATATGGAGATAATGATAAGCCCACACAGAGGTAAAAGTGTCAACATGCTAACATGTTTATGATACTTATAAAAAGCCCTCAAATTGATATATTTATAATACCTATACAGGTACAATGATAAAACTGAGCCCTAAGAAAGAAAATAGGTTCCTCAATGTATAGCTTTTGAGCTTTAATAGCTAATAAACCAAGTCTACAGACTTTATACATTATAAAGCTAGAGCACAATCTTTGACCGTAAGTAATAAATAAAATGCGAAAAAAGGTTTATAAATAGATTAGTCTAATGTGATGACACATCTACAAGCAACTAAAATAATATTTATAATATTTTATTAAAATTTCTTTCAATTAGATATCACATTTCCAATTAGATCAACTATTATGCAGCACATTTCATTTAAAAAAGATTACTAGAAATTGGACTAATCCACCATGTTTATTGAACATCTAAACTTATCAAATATTGCGTTTGATTATTATTCAAGGAAAAAAAAGGCCAAGGCTTAACCAAAGTAAACATCAAATTTTGATCAGTTACCCTTTATTTTAATATCAAATTTTGATGTAAAAGAAAGCACGATCAGATATGTATATGATGAAAATTTTGAATGTTATGTAAATAAACTATTATATTTATTAGAAGATATATAAATGAATAAATGAAAACTCTTAGAATGCTTCCACATGATTGACTTATGTTAATTATTTGATCAGATATGACAATGTTGTAAAAGGGTGTGCGCCAGGGCGTATAACAAGGAGCCCCCTCAGCCCAATTTGCACGGGACAGCATAGCTTTTCAAAATGGAATGTGTTATTTGTGTCATAAAGCAGGATTTATGTACATACAATTTAATTCTAATATATTTATATCTCAAACATCAAAAATTTAATATTTATTTATGTGAAACTCAATTTTTTAACATCATATTAAAAAAATACTACTAATACTATTTTTTTAAAATAAAATACAACTTTTTATGAATATGTACTGATGTGACAATAACACAAAATTTTATATATATAATGAAGTTTACATACATACTACAAAGTACTTAGATGTTTACATATTTAATATATATATATATATATATATGGGGCATAAATCTGTCCATGACCACACATTGTGTCATAGCACATTAGTGAACTTCATTCCTTTGCTAAAATGATAATGCAAATCATGTTTTACTCGGTTATTATGATATTGATGAAGGAAATAAGAATTTTTACTCATGAAGATGATCATGAGGATGATGATGATTCCTTAGATGACTAATTTAATCGTTTATAAAAATACGTTACTAAGTGCTTGAATTTAAGTGTTATTTTTGTTGTTTTAATTATCATATCATTTCATCTTTCAATTTAATATTATTTCATAATTATCAACATTTTTAAATTTGTTTAATATTTTGCATCGTATTTAAAATGGTACGAGCAACGCCAAACGTTAAACGCTATGCCTCCGCAAATACCTGTGTGCTATAGTGGGCCATTTTCCATTGACAAATATGTGTTGGATTTGGATCCAAGTGAATTAAAATTATGTTATATGAAACTAATTGGGTTGGTCTAAGTGTTCAACTTTATCAATAAGTGTTCTAGCTTGATATAATTTCAAAATGATTGATGTTGATGAATTCAATCAATCGAGTTTTATCTGGCTTTATATGTCTTTCGATCGAATAGAGGGGCCATCAAGGGGTGCAAAACCCTAATTTGACATTTCATATTTCACCCAAAGAGAATTATCAATGAGCACAAACTATTTTTCAATTTTTTTTCCTTACATAATATCAATGCTCTTTCACCTTCTAATTGCATCATTTGGTGTATAAAGTGTGGGTTCTAAAAATTTACGCCCAAACCTCCCCAAAATAAATGAGTGTTTTATGAAGAAGTTCGGATTATTATTTTTAAAAGGCAAATGAAATTATAGATAGATAATACCCAAAGGTTTCACCCTCATTTTGTGAAAACTTTAATAGCTAGCATTCGATGTAATCCATAAGCACAAGCCATATTAGTTAATTACTATTCAGAAAATGAGAGAACACATTCGATAAGAGTTAGTGATTAGAGCGTTGATTGATGAACATACGATAGCAACAATTGAAGGTTCAGATTAGAATATATTGTGAGCTTAAAAGAAAATGGTTGAGGGATTGATAACAAGCTTGATTAAGATATCAAGATTTTGTCATCTAGATTATCATGAACCCGGGTGCCTAATTAGTCAAACAAGGTAGTCTACCTAACCTAACTGAACGATCCTTGTCATTCAGTAGTCATGAGTTATTTTATCCAAAAAAATCTTGTAGACTGTGATAGATAATTTTCTAAAGAGGAAAATTTAAGTTGATCTTAACTTGCAGTATATTTTGTGTCCAATTAGATATAGCCTATGATTGACAACTTAAATTAGAGAAAAATAACGAGAAACATATGGCTACAATCATGATTGTAGTATAGTGGAGCCCATTGGTCAAATTATCATATCAGACTGCTTTAATCATAATACTTTTTTATGTCTACAGATAAAACCACTCAGACAGAGAACTTGATTAATGTCCTTGTTTGTGTAGATCATTTTATATGTGAATATATATATCTGCTATGACATGGGCTCCTTGTTAGTTCGAATTAACCTCAAATTCATCATTGTTAACAAATGATAGTGCAGGGAGAATGAGATTTTGCTTAGGTTTTTAAGTGAATTTTCCTTAAATGTTTCTTGATTTTATAATTTAAATTTTTAACTTAATGAATAAACCCTTTAGTTGACATTCAAGTTGAACATGAACATCGATGGGGATTGATTGAAGAATATTGAAATTCTCATTTTGTCATTTATTTAAAAGTTATAATTTGAATATCATTGCAAGCATCGGTTATGTTAACCCCAATCTCAATAAGGGGGAGAATTAGATTAGCTCAACAGATGTTCAGTTTATTCAACTTCAATTCTTGCCAGGAAGATGATCGGAGAGGTCAATTGGGATCAATTCTTTCCAGGAAGATGATCGGATAGGTCAATTGGGGGCCTAGTTTTTTCAACTGATCTTTATCAAATGAAGGATAGGATGGCCAAAGAGAAACTTATAACATTGTCTTAAAAGCAAAGTCTTTCAATAGAGAGCATATGATTTTAAATTGAACGTTTTTAAAAGAAATCTTTTGATAAATTTTGGATGATTTGCATGTTTCTTGAGACGGATCACATTTTCGTTTAAACGTATTATTTTTGCAACATTCTCAAACCATATATTAATGTGTTCAATGTATTGATCGAAGCACAAGCAAGTGTTGCAAATGTGCACGCATTTGAATGCATTTATTTGATGCACATACAATGATTTTAGTACGCTTCGCCTGGTGCACAGATTTTCGATGCTTTCGAAAGCTTAACTTGTCATGCATCAAAAGCTTAACTTGTCATGTGTACTCATCTAACAAATATTTAAATTTTGTTTATTGTGCGTTTCTTGTAAAAACCATTGCATAAATCTCAATGTGTTTGCACTTCCCTCAAGGTAATATTTGAGTTAAAAATAGCCTTGTAAATCATGCAATTTTGAAGATCATATGTGGTTTGAGCACTTGCATGAATATTTTGGCCTTTAAAAATGAGAAAGCATTCAATTAAATTCACCAAAATTTGTATTTTATCTATTTGCAAGTATGTTGCAGATCTGATGGTGATTAAGGGATTTAAATTTGAATTGTGTCTTTAAAGTAATGCATTTCATTTCTTGCACTCGATCTTCAATTTATTGAATTGTTAAGTATAATGAATTTGATTTGTGCTCAATAATGAACTTTTCAAATTTTTTTCAGTGCATTGTGTATAGCTTTATTCTTGCTTGCAGATGAGTTGTGTTATATGTTAGTCAAATTATATGATCTTTTCATCGTGCTCGGTATAAGATATATAACAATCCGAATGTTCACCTTTCTTGTTAATGCTTCTAAGCTAGCAATTGGTTTCGTTACAGAGTTTGTTCGAGCTTGTTGACGAGCAATCGAGTATTTGTATTCAAGCATATCCATTCGAGATTATTTATATAACAATTCAAATCTTAATTTTGTCTTTCATTTGCAACTTAAGATATTTTATTTGATTGCATATTTGTCCAAAAAGGTCCAATTAGATTGTTCTTTGTAAATGACATTCAGATAATTTCGACATGCTCACAATGTCATCCTCGAGTAGAGGGCTACTTAGAGAAAAATGAGTTTGTCCACCTACCAATAAGGTTTAAATGATCGGTGTTTTGCAGCATCATGGTCATATATCTTCTAACTTATCCACTTAGAAAACATACATAGGCCTTCAGATACATGCAAAAGTGAAATATAGGATTTTTTTTTCAACCATGTTAGAACAACAAGAATGGGTAATTAAAGCAAGTTTCCCGCTGCATTGGAACAACGCAAACACATACTTAAATTTTCTTGTGTATATATAACGAGCAAGGTAGCGAATTGGTGAACACAAATACACAATCATTATCTTTTAATCTCTTTTTTTTAATATTCTCCTATTTTTTAACTAATCTTTATCTCTTCTAGAAAAACAGAGGGTAAGAGAGTTTCTCTATTTAGAGAAAGAAAGGAGAGAGGTGGAGGCTACAGGGGTGTCATGAGAAGGGCGGAGAATGAGGAGAGTCGGGATTGGGCGTTGTGGTACATCGGCTGGTCAGAAAGCCTGCTAGGAGGACAGGGATGGAGAGGCAGAAGGCAATGTTGACTGGTGTTTATGATCGGCTTGGAATGTTGAGTCACCGGGAGGAAACATAAGGGTCTCTTGCTATTTGTAGTCTTGGAGAGGGTTAGCAAGGACAGCAAAAAGGTGGTGTTGTCCTTCGTACATTGAAGAAGAGTATGGTCCACTCTCAGGATAACCACTTGAAGGCACCTGCAGACAACATCCAGTACAGAGAAGAAACCATGCTCAAACCTCCATAGTCAACAAAGCGTGATTACTGACCCTAGAAACCACATGGACCGCCACTCAGACCACTTTCATCATAGCCCCAAATCCCTCCCAAAAGGAAAGCGCCTGACTACCCACAGATGGCACACCTGCATTTCCTAAGCCAATAATGGTTACAAAAGGAAGTTGAGATGGTGGTGCTGCCCAAAACCTGCATCAACACCAAGAAGCTCACCATTTCCAGAGAAACCACCACAAGATGGAAATCCACCAGCAGGGCCACCAAACTGGCTTGAAAGGGAGCAAGGCAATGAGGACTGAGAATCCATTACACCTACCCATCACCATGGAGATCAGATCCATTGCCGGCAATCAGTTGACCCTGCACTCCAGCACCTGGAAGAGCAGCCGCAAGCCCACTTTTTCCCTTCAATTGCCAGCTTGCATTGCAAGTTTCACCCATCAATACTCTTTATCTGTAAGCGCCGCTTGAGCAGCTTCCATGGCTTATAGACAAACAAGGCATAACCCATAATCTAGCCCGTAAGTTTATCAAAACCCAGCTGGGCCTTCGTTGTGTTGCCATACAAGCCAAAGAGAGTGAGGAGGGGGTTATAGGCATTTCACGTGAGTGCTGGAAGTGAAACAGTATGAAGAAGTGCAGAGAGCTTGGAGCGAGTGAAAAAAGGAGAGAGCTGAGGGGGAGGATAAGAAGCTCCAGCTGAGAGCAGGAAGATGAACCTGTTTGGCCTGGGAACTGTGCGTGGGTTGAGGGAGTGGAGAATGGATGTGGCTCCAATGTCCAACGAGAGCAGGTGTACGGGATTTGAACGGGGAGTGTTCTCAAATTGGGGGATTTTTGTGAGCAGCACAGAGGGAGTGGGGTGAGCTAGGAAAAGAGCAAGGCAGAGAAAGGATGAGCACTGTGAAATAGAGTGGGTAAGCTAAAGTATTAATAGATTTCCAATTGATTAAATATTATTATAAAAATGTGTATTTGGTTTTCAATTGATTTATTATTGTTATAACAATATTTTATTTCTGTTACTTATGAGGCGGAATAGAGAACTACAGGCAGTGAAGTGAGATTTGGAAGACTTTAGCTTGATTTTTTATAACTAAGAATACAAATTATAATTATCAAAATGACGTTTTAATAATATAGAATTAATAGGATATTATCTGTGTGCATTTATACTTCTTGAATCCTCAGTCATCTCACACTTTAAAAATGTGATATTACCTTGAATTTTGTGTCAGCAATCGGCGAGAGGGATTCAAATAATTAGAGTATCATTATTAAGTAATTTCGATGCCTCGGACGCGCTCATGCAATCCATTTCATAAACGGATATTTTTTGTACATTTTTTATGCCGGTTAAAATATCTTAACTTTGATTTGCATGTTGCTGCCTCAAAATTTGTGCTGATGGTCTACGTGAGGGACCCAAATAAAATGGGTGTCATGTTTGAGTAATTTTAATGTCTCAGATATTCTCGTGCAGTCTATTTTGTGAATGGAGCTCGTTTAAGTGATGTCCATGGCATTCAAGGTGACACAAGTCTAAATCACACAAGTTTTGTCGGTAATTCATGATTTCGGTTTTGCTTGCTCCTTTTGATCATAGAAGGCCCCCTTCTTAGTAATCCAGATAATTTCGATGCAATGGGGTGGTCCATTATGTGATTGGGAGATGTTTCGGGTGGCTTCAAGCCTGATCAAAGCATTCTAAGAGCAATTTATGTTACACCACATTCAATGTTCATTTTCCGCGATGTACTTGACATTGTCAAGTCATGAAACTTATATTGAGGTCAACACAAATGTCCATGCCATTCCAAACCTAAAGTTTAGCAAGTAATAGTCTACAATAAAGAAATCAACATGATTTTTTTTTTCTTTTTTCCTGATAAATATATGGACACAGAAAGAAAATTTTGAAGTTAATAGTCATTCAAAGATGAATAACATTAAAAAAGTAAGAACATATGTTATCGTAGAAACCTTCAAGACAAGGCCAACTGGAAGCAAATACTCCTTCCCAGATACCCTAAAATATGAATCAGACGACAAATTATTGTAGAATAATATGCATAGCTTTGATCTTTAACATAATATGCTATGTAAAAATATTTATTTATCATTGAACTTGAAAATATTACCGGAAACCAACTCTAGCACTTCCGATTTGAAGGTAATACAAAGTGAGATTGATGGAAGACTGATCCTCTCGAATACACCTGAACGCATGTAGGACAAAATAAAAGCAATAATAATGATACAAAAAATTTAGTAGTAGCAATAATTTTTGAAGAATAAGCCGCCAATTTAAAGAAACAGGAAAAAAAATATATCTTCAGTATTTCCCTAAATAGATCTTGCATGACAGATGCAAAATTTAAGAACATGAGCGTGTTGCTGGTTACTGGCATTTGCTCTTAAAGAAAGGTAGCATAGGGAAAATAACATCTCAGTATGTATGTATAAATGAGAGATTTATTATATGGATGATACATAACACCAATATTGGAGGTTCGCAAAGGAAAAAAAAAATTGAAAATACTTTTTATGACTAAGGGTGCGTTTGGGAGTGCTTTTTACTCACTTTCTATTTTGAAAATCACATTTTATGCATTTGCGAGCCCGCTTATTAGGTACACTCATAACTCCAGTTCCCAAAACCTTCGTTTTGCGAACGGTGGAGCGGGGCTCGGTTCCATGAAACGGTCCGCGGCTTGGTTGGGAAAAGACACAACTGTCGTTCATCTTTTCCGCTTTTGCCTTGTTTTATCTATAATATTTACCTCTGGTTTTGGTCCCCCGCCACTGGAATTCGAAATTAGGCCATAACTGTGATGTTTTTTGGCTTCTCCCGCGTCTTCGCTACAAATCATAAATATGTATCTCAAACATGCCTCTTTGGTATAGGATCACACGAAAAAGCTCTTTTTGTTTATTGTTCTCATTTTTTTCTTCATCGTCATTGTATTTCCAAATTTTGATAATCTCTATATTATCAAGTTTAATTGTTGGTTTAGGATGTGGGTTCATGCTATTTGGGTTTTGCATTCCATCTGATAACTTCGAATTTGCAAATGGTTACTTCATTTTCAATTTTTGGTTCAGGTTTCACATTCCATGCTACATTCCATCCGATAACTTCGAATTTGCAAATGGTTACTTCGTTTTTAATTTTTGGTTTAGGTTTCGCATTCCATGCTATTTTGATTGGGGTTGCTCGGATTGGGATTTAGTTGGTTGTGATTAAGCTTGCTCTGGTTGGATTTTTGTTGGTTGTAGTTAAGTTTGCTCTAATTGGGGTTCGGTTGGTTGTGGTTAAGATTACTCTAGTTGGGGTTCAAATATTTGTTGTTGGGGTTACTCTTGTTGAGGTTTTGTTGAATGTGATTGAGTTTGCACTAATTGAGGTTTGGTTGATTGTGGTTACGCTTGCTCTAATTGGGGTTCGGTTGGTTATGGTTAGGATTGCTCTGGTTGGGGTTTTGTTAGTGGTGGTTGCTCTGGTTGGGTTTTCGTTGGATGTGGTTGAGTTTGCCCGGGTTGGTGTTCGGATGGTTGTAATTGGGGTTCGGTTAGTTGTGTTTGGGTTGCTCTAGTTATGATTTGATTGGCTATGATTAGGGTTGTTGTTATTGGGTTTTTGTTGGTTGTGGATGAGGTTACAGCGGTTGGGGTTCGGCCGACTGTGGTTAGGGTTGCTATGGTTAGACTTGGTTAGTTGTGGTTGAGATTGCTCTTGTTGGGTTTTTTGTTGGTTTTGGATTTTATTGGTTGTGGATGGGGTTCGGTCGGTTGTGGCTGGCGTTCGATCAATTATGGTTGAGAATTTGTTGGTTGTGGTTGGGTTTGCCATGGTTTAGGGTTTTTGTTGGTTGTGGGTTTTGTTGGTTGTGGCCGAGGTTCGATTTGTTGTGGTTTTGTTGATTATGGCTTTGTTGTTTGTGGTTGAGATTGCTCTGGTTGGGGTTCAGTTGCATTGGTATAGGGTTTTTGTTGGTTGTGATGTTTTGTTGTTATATTTATTATTGTAATTGTATCGTGCATGCTATATATAATGTGGGTTTCAACGGCATTAGTTTTTGTAATGTTATGTAGAGCAATGATAAAAAAAAGAATAAAAAACTCAACCGATCAATAACTATAATTCATATATTTGTCCCCATTTGATTGCAATCATAGTTAGTCATAGATATTACATGGTCTTAAAGCATGCATGACACAGTCAACCACAGATAATTTTTTGTCTTTAATCCTGCATAACATAGTTAATCATACATACTAACTAATCTTAAAAGTACACGTGACATACTCAACTACAGATACTATCTGGTCTTAAAACGCACTTGACACAGTTAATCAGAGAAACTACCTGGTTTTAAAATCTATAAGACATAGTCAATCACATAAATTATTTGATCTTAAAAACTGCAAGTCATAATTTATATGATTATCAAAAGCATTTAGCGGTCATGGATAGGCCATTTCTTTATAAATTGATCTCACTAGCTTTAATTCGATCTTTTTTAAAAATTTATGTCAATTTTTCTAATATTTTTTGTTTGTAAGCTTACTTATATAATATCCTCCAAATTTTATATTTTCATGATCTATCAAATGAGAAAACAAAGAAATATGATATACTGGCCAGTTGGGAAAGGGATGTGAAGATTACATCTAGTAATTTATGCTTGAAAGAGATCCAAATTGACAAATAGTCCAACCAACCATTTCAAAAAAGAAGATTGGCAAAAACATAACAAAAAAATTCACTAAAAAAAAAGAAATATTGTATAATAAACTCCAGTTGAAGAACAAATTAAGTCAACCGTATAAGGAGTTACAGAAAGGCAAATGGATTAGGTTGATACCATGTTAAAAAAATGGTAAATGCATCAGAGGGGTGGTGGCAAGAAAAATTTTCAATAAGTAAAAAATGATATATAAATTTTTTACATTCTCATATTATTTAAACTACGATCTTATTAAATGTAGATCTTTAACAATGCAAAAACCTTAGGATTTCTGGAATAGTCTTAAGCTAGGGCAGAAACTTGATTACATATTTCTTGGTGTTGTGGCAACACAAGATTTCCTCAAGAATTTGGATGAGTTTGAATATGCTCATTTAAATGAAGTCCAAGAGAAAGTACCACAAGATAGAGAACCATGAGAATCAAGTCATTCCAAGCATTGCACACTTCACCGATAAGCATAAGAAAAATGAAGGCAGACACCCAAAATTTATCTAAGCAGATTTCACAAATTGTACAACATGTACGAGTATAACATTCAAAGCTCGCACAGCATTTAGGGATACTCAACTACGGCAGAAGTCATGAAGTTGTTGGACTCCATTCCCAATATATTTGATGATATGTCAATATATTTATTTGCTATAAAAGTTCTAGCGAGAAAACGGGATGCTTTCATTACGATGATGTCAGAACGAAAGATTCCTTACATCTGTTATTTTTAAAACAATCGTTCAAGTTAATTTGAGTTCTTAAATTTTAATAAATAAAATTTGTATGCCGAAAAACATCTTGTGTTGTGTTCATATGACATTATATCAAGTATGTTTTGCTCTAGGTATGGTACTTTAATTATGTAGTTGTTTACTCGTAGCTTACCTTATAAGTTTTTATATATTCTAACATGCATAAAATAAACAGATAGGCCTAATCACCCATCAAATGAAAAGAAAATTATAGAGATAGTGAAACGAACAATAGTTATAACAACTACAGTATGTCCATCAATGAGTACCATAAGACAAATTCGTGCAAAACACCGTGTGTCTCTTATCTGTGGGTGACAAATGGATTGGTGAGTTGTTCCAAGATCATCTTGGCAACTCCATAATATTTCGAATGTTGGGAAAAATTTATGATTTGTTGGATGAATTGCAGAATAATTATGGTTTGCATGGATCGTCATGATTTACATCAAGAGAAGTACTAGTCATCACTTCATATGTTATGCCACATAATGAGTCCATTTGTCTTATTTTCGAGCAATTCCAACACTAACAGAGACGATAAACATATAATTCGGTATAGAGGTTAACTCTTTGGTCAGAATGTCAAGTAATAATGTCAAACCCCTAGACCCTGCTTATGGGCATACACCAAAATAAATTCTTACTGATCCAAGATATATATTGTCCTTGAAGTTATTGATTTATCTATTTAATTTGAATGCATGTATTATAGGAAGTAATTGTTCTCATGAATATTTTAAATAAGGTTGTATATGAGCAATTAATGACACAAATGACAATGCAGGTGTTGGCAGCAATGGTAAGATTGCATAAATCGAATGTAGTAGGTCTGTAACACAAAATATCTTCATAGTTTGTTACTTCAAAATTTGTTTTACGTTCTTAATGGTTGGATGGAAAGTGATTGCTATGATAATCGTATATTTAAATTTGGTACTCGACAGCATGAATAAAAATTTTCAATGTATGCACCCAATTAATAAATTCACGATTATATATGAAGTGTTAATTTAAGTGATGCGCTAATAATATTATTATTCCGCCGAATTAGGATATCTCATGCAATGAGGTTTCTTAAAACTCTTCCCCTATATGAGGTACCACCTTCTCCATCATGACCGCAGCAGTCAAGTGATCGGAGAAAAGGATGAGTTTTAACCAACACTCATCATTGTGAGGTGCTACAGAGATAGAATTCAACGTATGAAAAAAAAAGTTGGTCATGCTCTCAGATATACCAACACATTCATTGAAAAAACTGATAAAAAAAGTTGTTGCAACAGCAATTCTGCATAATTTTATATAGAGATATCAATCTCGATATGAAGTTGATTTCAAAGTTTTAAATGAAGATCCAATATACATGACTGTAAAAGCATTTTAAACATCAACAGGATAAGCATTATGCTCGAAAAAAACTTATGTGAATAAATTCAACACACCATTTGGGGAGGGTGTTCAGGAGATGATCCAGTTGAACGAAGAAATCATAGTTTTTTTAGAAAATTGATCGAGTAAATCTAATTAATAATTTATAGTCTTCTGATTGATGTTTGCTATTTAAAGTATATGGAGAATTGGTTAATGTTTATTTTTTCCTTCAAGTTTCGATATTTTAATTTTTAAGGATATAAATATCGATATTTTAATTTATAAGATTATAAGTATAGATATGCATTGTTGAAATTCACAATAATGTGAAATAAAGAAAAATTTGTA